ACACACACACACACAGACAGAGACACACACAGACACTCTCACACACACACAGCACACACACACACACACACACCACACACACACACACACACACACACTCACAGGCTGAGTTCAGTACGGGCGAAGGGAAGAGCATCTTGTCACCATGGAAACGTCAGACAGGTCAGTGTCTGAATGACCATAAAAGAAAAACAAAAGAAGAAGAGCACACAGACACACACACACACGCACGAGCGGGCTGAGGATTGTGTGTGTGAGATTAGGCCTGTTCGTTATCTGAACACAATGACTGTTGCTGAAACAGCTCAAGACTAAAGAGACGAGAGGCTTTACAGCGCAGCATTAGCGTAAATACTCACAGCAGGTGTTTGTGTGCGTTTACCCGGTTCAGAGTGGTTTATGCTGGTTCTGTGCTGGTCTAGAGTAGTCAAGATGTTTAAAGGGTCACTAATAATGTAAGTAAACTGTATTGCACCAAAAACAACCATTTTTTTGTTCTTTTGAACTTTCTATTAATCTGTGAATCCTGAAAAATAAAATGTCTCACAACTGTTTTCAACATTGATAATAATCAGAAATGTTTCTTGAGCAGCAAATCAACATATTAGAATGATTTCTGAAGATCATGTGACACTGAAGACTGGAGTAATGATGCTGAAAATACAGCTGCGCATCACAGAAATAAATTACAGTTTAACAGATATTCACACAGAAAACAGCTATTTGAAATTATAATAATATTTCACAATTTTTACCATATTTGTGATCAAATAAATGCAGCTGTGGTGAGCAGAAGAGACTTCTTAACCAGAATAAACAGACTTTTACACTCATACACTAAATTAGCCTAGTAAAGCTCTCATTCTCTGATCTGAGACCAGCCTAAATCCAGACAAAACCATCTAACAGAAGAGTTTAATGTAGAGACACAAACCAGACGTGTGTATGAAGAGACTAACGAATCTCCCGGGGAGAGTAAAGTCTTAAACACGTCTCACTGACTCACAGAGAGGAATAACTGGATGAGACTCTGATTCAACAGATCTGAAACACAGACGCTCATTACACGCTTTACTGTGTGTGTGTCTCTTAATGAGAACTCTTGTTGTGCAACTTCTTACTTTTCCACATGGGAGAAATAAATGTCTGAAGTCTGATGCATTAAATGATGTTTCAACATTAGTGTTTCTGACGTTATTTCAGTGTGTGAGGTTGGTGTGTGTGTAAAAGATAACATGAAATCAACACTGACTTCACTGTTTTAATTCATGTTCCCGCTCTTATTGAGAACGATTCATCAGTGACGTCATTCTGAAGAAACACATGAAGCGTTTATAGTCTTTCTCTCCGACTTTCCTTCAGCTTGACGTCATCAATCGCTCTTATTGATCACCCAGCTCGATTTAGAGAGACTTTTACATCAGCTCATCACGGAGAAAATCACCTCCCTTCATTCATTCTCATTTAATATCCTGATTCGCTCGTAAATACGTCACATTACAGAAGAAAAATGACTGTTTATTGTTAAAGCAATAGTTAATTGAATTAAGTGCATCTACTGTATAATGCATAATATTCTGATTCTATATTCACATGCAGATGTGTTCGCCTCATTTTTCACACACACACACAAACAGAAAACCTAATTCTATCTAATTCTGTTCACAATAATAAACTTAACAAGCATTATTTTAAGTTAACGTGAGACTAGTGTCATCTCGTCTTACTTACAAACTCAAATCCCTCCAATTAATAATTTCAGGTTACAGTAAAATTTCAAAGTAACATGGAAACTCACCGTTCGTAAACTTCCCGTGTGTCCAGCTGCATGCGCGACTCGGAGGAAATGAGCCGCCGCAGCATCAGCAGCACGAGGAAACACAGCAGATGCCTGTCACAAAAAAGAGGGAAGAGTCAACAAATCAGTGACACACACACACACACACACACACACACCACACACACACACACAGTGACGATGCTCCTCTGAGATTTGTTCATGGAATATATTCCTCTCACAGATGTGGACGCATGTCAGGTCAAATGGTCCTGATCTGAGATGGTTTGACTCTCATGTGTGTCATTAAAAATGTGAGTAGAATTTTATCAAATGAGAATCTTGGTTCAGGTGCCAAAACCACAGAAAAACAGCCACAAATGCCTACAGAACAAATCAATTAAACCCCTCAGTGATTAAAAGTGTACAGAGAAATCATATTGATGATGTTAGAAGCATGTAAACAGTATATGCAATCACTGTAATGTTATTTCTTTAAAACTCACCGAACCCTAATAAAATCAATTTGTTTATTTCCTCATTAGTGATCTGTATCTTCATAATAACATTGACTCCGGAAGTGACTCATTTGGACGACAGAACATTGTTTATAAAATGGCACGATTAATGAAACCGACAGAAGCAATATTATTGATCAGGGTCTCATCCAGATCTTGTCACATAGAGCAAATAGTTAATGTTGAACCGACATGAATTGAAAATTAATGATAAATGATCCGATTTTAAATTCAGTTTAGATTCACTTCGGTGTTGTTATTGTTAATTAAAACTAAAACAGTTTTTTGTTAATTGAAATAAATCTGAAATAAACAAAAATGTAAATATTAGATGTAACAGGTACATCAAAAACTTCAATGAAAATTGATTTGGCAACTAAATGAAATAAAATATATAAGTACTAAAATGACTATAACTGGAATAAAAAAATTAATCTAAATAGAAACAATAAAAAACAAAAACTAATAAAATGTCAAAAGCACATAACGATATTACTAAAACTTAAACTAAAATGATAAGGAAAGGAAAAAAGTAAAAAAATGACTAAATCTGAAATAAAAATAAATGTAAAAAAAAAACTAAAACTAATAAAAATGTCAAAAGTGTGTCATAAAATTACTAAAGCTTCAAATAAAATTAAAAAGAAACCTAAACTATAAAATGTAAATAAACTATTAATAAATACTATAATATTACATAAGCAAAAATACAAAAAAAAAAAACACTGATTCAGTTGTTTATACTGTCTGTTTCTTTATTTTGTGTATTTTCTGAGCCATCGCATTTTTATTATAATCTTTATTTTCTCTTATTCTTTTCAGTTCTTTCATAACACAGGAGGTGCTCAAAAATGGGCTTCATCCAAGTTAGCAACAATGTCTTTGTTTATATTAAATCCGTATCTATCCATAAGTGTCATGAATAAATAAATAAACGATCAGACCTTATAAATGCACAGCCTCAGGCACTGATCCGGTTTTGTGGCAGTAAGCGGATCAGTCTTGGCAGCTTTTGCCGTTATTAAACAGCCCCAGAGAGAGAAAACAGACAAGTACAGGTTAATGAGGTTAATGCTGGAACTTGCTCAGGATGATAAGCTACCAGCAGTTAAAACTAACCCACCCAACCCTCCTCTAACCCTAACTAACTAACTAATGAGAGGTGGCTCATATTTTCAGGACACCCGTTACGGTACTTTGATATGGTGTTACAGAATAATTTCCATATTATTTATTTGAGAAGCGAAGGCATTGACGCATTGACTGCAGCACTAAATCAGCCTCATGCTTGTGCCAAGAGAAACACGAGTGCTCTTTTATCCTCACTTTCAACTCGAAATAGATCTTCTAATGAATCTGAAGATGCTGTTTTTTACTATTTTAATTGGAACACATTTGCATCTATGAGCCGTTGCTATGGCGACGCCGTGAGGAGACGAGCTTGTTTGGGCTGGTTAGTGTCACACCACTTAATAAACTATTGAACCTGACACAGAGCACTCATCTTCATCATGTGTCACATCACTGTACAGGGTTTTTAGCAACTTTGAAGGCATAGTTCACCCAAAAATGAACATTCTGTCTCGTTTACTCATCCTCAGGTTGTTCCAAAGCTGTATGATAAAAGAAGATATTTTGAAGTATGTTGCTACTTGTACTGTGTCAGACTAAATGGGGTTTGTCACAGCACTTACTGTACATATTGATGCTCTCTTGTTAGTTTTGATTGCTTCTATTGTCCTCATTTGTAAGTCACTTTGGATAAAAGCATCTGCTAAATGACTAAATGTAAATGTAAATTATGAGCATACATTTACTCCAAGCCACTGGTGATTCTGGACTTTTCTTTGCAGCTGAAATCTTCAGTTCAACAATAAACTTATAAAGACAGACATAAAGATGTGTGTCGTCTTAAGAACATTAACATGCACATCTTCAAAGCTTCTTTGCACCTTCACTGAAATTAGGTGTCGAGGCAATTTTCACTCTGAAATTGCTAGTAAATTTATTTAATTAATTACAATTAATTACACAAAGAAACAGCAAGTAACACACTGAATTAAATGCTTTGAGTAATAGTGTACACATGTACTTATTCTCTTTTTTTGTGATGCATATTTGTTTAATGTGTAAAACCATTAAATTAGTTTATGTCCACCCTGTTATATTGGCGCTTCTTCTCCTTTAAAATATTAAGCATGTGCCGCAAATCACATGACCTGATAGAAGTGACATCATTTCCTTGGAGGGAAAATGAATCCAGGAACAAATGAAGTCTTAGTCATAAACTTTTCTCTCTTTTCCTCATTTTTAGAAATCTTATCTATTAGCGTAAAACTGAACTTGTCCACCCTGTTGAGTTAGTTTGTAATGGAAATGAAAATGTTATTAATCTGTTAAAGTTCTTGCTATATCTTCTGCTAGCCAGTAATGGGCTTCAGTGGTTTAAACGTCTGCAGTGTAGAAATGTCCTGTAACAGGGTGGACAGACTGAAATATTAGCTCAGGATTATTAGGTTATTGTTATAGTTTGAGGTCCATATCTGCTCAATCCACCGAATGACCCAGAACACAGATGATTTTCTTTTTTCTACTGTTTATTTATTGTTTATTTATTTTTTTTTATAAAAAGGCAAAACAAACAATATGTGAGCCTGCAGCACAAAAGCAGTGTTAAGTCGCTGGGGTATATTTGTAGCAATAGCCAACAATACATTGTATGGGTCAAAATTATACATTTCTCTTTTATGCCAAAAATCATTAGGATATTAAGTAAAGATCATGTTCCATGAAGATATTTTGTAAACTTCCTACCGTAAATATATCAGAACTTAATTTTTGATTAGTAATATACATTGCTAAGAACTTCATTTGAACAACTTTAAAGATGATTTTCTCAATATTTAGATTTTTTTGCACCCTCAGATTCCAGATTTTCAAATAGTTGTATCTCAGCCAAATATTGTCCAATCCTAACAAACCATACATCAATGGAAAGCTTGTTTATTCAGCTTTCAGCTGATGCATACATATCAATTTTGAGAAATTGACCCTTATGACTGGTTTTGTGGTCACATATGATAAAGATAAACTGGATTTGACAGTATCAGAAAGAGATGAAAAACACCTACATACACAACATACATGTGAAAACATGATCAAATCCAGTATTTAATAAGTTAAAATTAAAATAAAATAAAAACAGCAGATAGATGGTCAGTGTGAGTGACGGCTGATTTTCTAAGAGCTAGGTCATCTGAAGTTGTTTGTGAGGTTCATCAGTTATTCATCAGTGTGTGGCAGTGAGTCCATCACCAGCAGATGGCATGATCAGATCAGATGTGTGTGTGTGTGTGTGTGTGTGTGTGTGTGTGTGAGGTCCTCCTGCGGAAACGCTTCACTTCTGGTGTGAAACAGTGTTTGCAGGGCAGGGCAGCGGCTGATAGAGGAACTCACACCATCTGCAACAAACATGAAGAACATCTGAGTCCAAACTCACAGCAGATCAGCGTTATATCCATCTATATTTACATAAGCCACCATGACTGAGAGCTGTCACACAGGTAAGAGAGTTTAACTTTAACCAACCTAAAGTCTTATTACTGACAGACAGCTCTGTCCTCATCACTGTCTGTATTTCCATGGCAGGTTGTTCTTGCAGATGATTTATTGTTTATTGGTAATGTTTTATTGATCTGCACTTTATATCAAAACACCAGCAACCAGAAAGATAGATTTAATGCAGGTTATAGATATATTTAAACTGCAGGTTACTCTTTACTGTATCTTATATCTGTTGAGTTTGCTTTTTATATTATTATTATTTTTGAATAATGTTAATGTCTTTTTGAATTCTTTGATGTAACGCAGCTGAAATATTATCTGACAGATGATCCGGTGTCAAATACTGACCGCCAGCTTCTTTATTTCATATCTGCTGGTGTGATTTCTTGTAGATCAGCTCATGTTTCTGTCCTCTGATCGCTGTGGTGTGTTTGGATGTTCGTATCTGAAGTGAAACACACACTCACACACACACACACACACACACACACACACACACACTCACACACACACACACACGTTCAGAGGCCCCTCACGCAGGAGCCATCGGCCCCCATGACAACAGGTTTCCTGTTTCATGAAGCAGAACACGACTCACGAAGTGTGAAGCTCATTGTTCCAGTCTTCAGCTTTACTGTAGATTCCAGACGGCTCTGATCTGCTCAATAATCTGTTTGAAGTGTTTATTTTGGTAATGTCATGTTGAGTAGAAACTCACTGCAGTATGAGCTCATTATATAGAGCTGGATGTGAATCTGCAGAGACACACTGATGTTTGTTCAGATGTTTAATCGTGTGATTGTGTCTTGTTTGCTGTTTTCTCAGATTTGATGGCGGAGGAGCAGATGGAGATCGAGGGGCTGAAGATGCACAAGCAGATCCTGCTGGAGGACATTGAGGTAAATGAACATCAGCTGCTGCTTCACACACACACACACACGCACGCACACACA